TATTGAAGCTTCTAAGGTAGTGTGAGTCTGTGCGACTCCCCTTCCACTGAGTCTCATCAGTAGGTGCTTGTGCTTCAATGTGAGGTTCCAGTTGACGCTGTTGTAGAGTCCTTGAGAGTAGCGTCGAGATCTCCTCATACTCTCTCATTGCTCAATGCAGCTCCAGCTCCTGTAGTCCCCGGGCAGCAACTGCCTCGGGAAGCTTTCAAGATGGTCGATGTATTGGTTGTTAACGAGGAAGAGGCAGCGGCTCTGGACCTTTTGCTGAATGGCACCAATGACTCCCCTGCCGATGTGACGAAGGATCCCAAAGCAGCAACAGTGTTGGCTGATAGACTGCTGAGGACTTCTGGAGCCAAGTGGTTATGCATCGTGAGTCTAGGTGGAGCTGGATGTGCATATGCTTGTGTGGATGGGAGTAGTGGTGCATTACCCTGCCCTACTGCCCCGTCGGATAAGGATAAGTACTGCACATCGACTGTGGGGGCTGGTGATTGCATGGTCGGAAGTTTGGCCGCCATGCTGGCTGCTGGGGAGAAAAATCCCGAGAGGTGAGTCTCCATCAGATCAGTGATAGATGACGGCCCTATGCTCTCATTCTCAGGCTCTGCAAGCTCTCTATGAGTGTAGCGACACAAGCTGTTTTTGGCTGTCCTAGCAGAGCCAGAGGAGAAGCTGTTTGCACATGCAACGCCCCAGGGAAGACCCGTAACGCGGGAATGATCCACGACCGATACCCTAAGCTCGGTCAATGTAGTGAAGAGGTTCAACAAGTCCTCCATACGGTGGTTAACACCAATTAGACCAGCCTTGCTGTTCGTTGTATATGTATCAAGTTTTTTGGTGGGGCCGTTCTATTTTGTTGACGACAAGTGCCCACCAATTACAATGGTTTTCTATCTAGTTATCCCACACCTACAGTTGTGTTGTAGGATAGTGATAGATTGAGTGAGGACTTCTCACTTGGGAGAAGGAGGCTCTACGGGGTTATAATAACGTTCAGAAGGTGATAATACAGTATACTGCATGATGTATGCACACTCAACAATATATATGGATGTGAAAGCACATTTGAAGATTGAGTCTGAAAAATTGAAGAGATTAAACGATGAGGTAGTCCGTGATGATGGTAGATGTAATACATATTAACCAGTGGGAGGCCATCATATGAGATAGGAGTTGGATTGTAGTTCGCTGCTTAGGGCACCCTCACAGAGTGAAGTATACATGCCTTGCTAGCGCGTTATGGAGAGGAGGATCCGTAGAGGACGTGTGTTAGTTGAGCCTCCAGGTTTGGTCCTCCCATTCCCCGGCGATGTGTGAATGAGCGTCGTAACTATTATCATCTGTGATGCTTTATACTCGACATTGCGCGGCTATCGTGAATTAGACCGTGATTCTGAGTTGAGGGGTGAGGTGGCGAGGATGCTGCTCGGACCACGCTTGCGCAGAGACTACGTACTAGAACTTGCTACAGTGTGGATATTTGAGAGGTGCCCTACCATGGGATGTCGTGTCACCGTCTCCGAATGATCTCCTACGTACACCATCACAGTAATTAACCCCACACAGCACCAAAGCTATTGAAGGAAACATCGAACTATCGCTCCTAGGTCTGGTTACTAACTCGATACCACCAAGATGTTGGGTCATACAAATCGTATACCAGTATCATCGACTCCGTCAATCCAGCTATACAACAGAGCAGAGAACGTAAGCGATATAGCTAATGGCAAGACAGCCAGACGATGAGCAATGGTGCAAGGATGTGAGCGTTGCCAACAGCTCTCTTTAATTCTAGTCTATCCCCATATTATTTTCATACTAGTGAGACAATCTCCATCGGTAGAGAAGTTTCACGCGGGAACCTGCCAGGACGCTTTGCACATGCATGATGAATGCACAAGTTCATTGCTCGTCCGTTTGT